CGCTACGTATATTGTCACTATGTATATGTGTATATATAGAAACAACGTAGCTTTGTAAAAAAAAAAAACGTGACGCAGTACGTTTTGTAAAATAAAAGCCGAAAATCTGGTAATTAATTAAACCATTCGTGCTTCAATAAACTAAAAATTCACAGAAATCATAGCTAAGACATGTGTTTATATGTATCTATAATTTTAGAAATGTAACTCAAATCGTTCGCGAGATATTAGGGAGTTTTATGTATATATGCACTTCTCCTAATTAAACATGTTTATACGCTGAGTAAAAGAAATGTTACGTGTTCAGTGTTTATTGTTTATTGAATTCGAAATTTTTCACAATGCTTCATTTCACTCTAGCTCCCTCTCTCTCTCTCTTTCTTGTAGTCAAATACAAGTTCCCGCTACTTTTCATTTGGTAATTGTCATTGAACATTACACACACCCACACGCGCACACGCAAACACACACGCGCACACGCGTACACGCGCACACGCACACACGCACACACACGCACGGCACGCACGCGCACACGCACACGCACACGCACACGCACACGCACACACACACACACACACAAACACACACACGGCACGCGCCGCGATTAGTCACCGAACACAAATCTGTTTAACAACAATACGCAGACAAGATTTCGTTTACAATCAATTAGCATATCCAGGAACTGGCTACAAGTATTTCACACGACGCCGGCTGGCGTGGTAACCAGGTGTGAAGTGCACCTGACGCGGGATGATACCGCGCGTACGTATATTTCTGGTAATTAATTAAACTGTTGCTTCAATAAAGTCAAAATTTACAGAAATCATAGCTATGACATGTGTTTATATGTATCTAGAATTTTAGAAATGTAACTCAAATCGTTCGCGAGATATTAGCCTATGACGATACCGCGCGTATATTAGCCTATATATGACAATACCGCGCGTACGTATATTTCTGGTAATTAATTAAACTATTCGTGCTTCAATATACTCAAAATTCACAGAAACCATAGCTAAGACATGTGTTTATATGTATCTAGAATTTTAGAAATGTAACTCAAATTGTTCGCGAGATATTAGAGTTAGTACACGAGTTAGCCGGCGAACCGAGCTCACCGATCTCCAGGCGCGTCAACCCATCTCACGAATCGAGCTCATGCACCGATCCCCAGACGCGACAACTCGCCACACGTACCAAGTTGGCAGGTGAACCTAGTTGACACGTGAGCGGATATCATCATGTAAATATGACAAAATTGTGTTGCTTGTTAATTGCCAGACATGTGAAAATGTCATGTTAAATGTTTCACTGTCAAAAGTGGGGAATTGGATAGATAGTTTTCCTGTGAACGATTTTATGATGTGAGGATGAATGATGAAGTGATCCTGTGAGGATGTATGAAATATGATAGTGCAAATTATTAAGATAGCTGATAAATTGTGACGGTGCATATTGAGTTATTCAGTTGATTATGTTACTTGAAGGTGTTGTGCTGGACGCTCTCACAGAGAAAGAGGGCCCAATACATTCGGCTTTCCTCGCCTACTACAGGTGCAAATGTGACAGAAGAATGGTAGTTTAATGTTAGACTCCTACAGTAGATGAAAAATGCACAAATGCATTGCAAACCTGTCTCAATAGTTTTCATGTGTATTTTTGATGCTGTGGCTGTAGAAAATCTTAGTTAATGTGGGTGGCATAGCCAAAGGTTTTGACAAATAATTATCTGGAGTACAGCTAAATTCTGGCATTAGATCAGGCATTTGATAGTTGTTGGACCCAACTTTTGGAAATCATTTTAACGTTCGTAAAACATCATCCCTGCCATGTAGTAGTACGAGTACTCACTTTAATTTATACTGCTCTATAGATATTGTGCGTAATATAGAGTATATATGGAATCTTCTATTGCATAATACGTAATGAACTGTGAGAACAGCTGTATGGTTGTACGTATACACTGCCTGTATTGCTCATCCCTTGACCAGCAGATAAGTACTGACTTATACAAAAGAAAGTCACGTCAAGAAATAACAATGTACAGTTTTTGACAAGGACCATGAAGAGAGAGAGCGAGAGAGAATATGTGTGTGTGAGAGTTTATACATGTGCATTTCTTTCTGGCAGTTCGGAGCAGTGTGATGCCCTACTGGTTTCCCTGCAGCAACACTTCCACTGGTTCTTTCAAAGAGTCGATGTTGAGGAGCAGCAGGCTAACATGCCAGTGTACGTGAATTCTCTCTCCCTCCCTTCTCTCATCCACTTCCCCCGGCCTCCTTTCCTCTCCTACCCTACCCCTCCACTCTGTCTCTGTCTCTCTGTCTCTCTCTCTCTCTCTCTCTCTCTCTCTATTTCCTCTCCTACCCTACCCCTCCACTCTGTCTCTCTCTCTCTCTCTCTCTCTCTCTCTCTCTCTCTCTCTCTCTCTCTCTCTCTCTCTCTTTCTTTCTTTCTTTCGGCCTCTCTCTCTCTCTTCTTGCATCTCGCTTTCTCCTTCTTGCCTTCCATCTCCCTTCCTCCCTTCCTACCTTTGTTTCCCCCTGCATCTCTCTCATGTTACAAGCCATGCATGCATGTATTTAAAAATCTGGGCATATAATATTAATAACACTTTTTCACAACAAAATCTTATTTTATATGTTATTTCAAATCGAAAAGTCCACCTGGAGCTGCCGAGAAACAGGAATTGATTGAGATAGAAGCCAATCTGGAGAAAAGCTTGAAGCGAGTAGGTGAGACATATGCCACCATTATCCTGGGTTTGGGAATGAGCAAGCAACATCACATGGATTGTGGCAGGTCAGTACGTGCTCCTACACAGGGTTCTTATGGGTGCTTGAAAACCTGGAGAGTTTGGGGATTTTAAAATTACATTTTTTTGGTCTTGAACGTACTGGAAAATGTGCTATTATTGTGTTATATTATGTTTTTTGTTGTATTTATGTTTATTATAAATTGTGTACAATTTTATAAGTTGATAATAATAAGTTCATATATATTATAAATTAAGGTATTGAAGATGTAGCAATCTGTACTCTATGAGAAGCAATAAAACTTAATTAAAACGTAAATTGCTTAAATATTGGGGTCATGGAAAATTCTCATACCACTGTTTTGCCTCGTTGTACGAACCCGTTTATACTTCTCATATGTTTATTATACTATTGCTGAAACATCAAACTTTTAGATGTCAATATTGTGTTTTTAAGAATATCTGATATTTTATTAATAGATTGCTTGATTCCCAAATGTGTTGACTGATTTATCAATTCAATTCGATATATGTAAAATTTAATGCAATTCAATGTTCGATATGTAATGATCATATTTAATCAGTGTAGTAATATATGTATAATGTAGTGCGGTTGCAAATAAAAAATTTACATATATATCTAATAATTATGCAATAAATAATATAAGGAACCATTCACCTATAGTAAAATCTAAACGTTGAATTTTTATATTCATAATTTTGTTAAGGTCAAGAGTATCTTCTACACATAGAGACAGAACAACATTTGAGGTGTGTTAAAAATGTCATTTTGACATTGCATTTATTTCGTCTTTCTTTTATTAGAAATATTTAGCTCTGCTAACACAGCAAATTGCAAAGTTTGCAATTATACGTGTCTACGGTAAGAGATCAATGGTTGGTGCACCTGGGGTATCGCTCTGCCTTCATTCGTGTTCAATCTACGATCTCGTGTAAGATCCACTTAGGGATTTAACCTTTCACTGATGATGATAGTGTCGTGTGATTGACCTTGAAGAGGGTTGCCGTAGCTGTCTCTGATCGAATGAATATAGTGCATCCAATGCATCTGTCGAAATGATGCTAGAGTTATATTACATCTTGTCAGGAGCGTATTAAGTAATTAAGAGCGTATAGTAAGCATACTTAATGTTTATTTGTGTTCGCAGTTGTTATACTTGTTCTGTGCTAATGTCATCAACGTCACATTCAGACGTCGTGACAGCGAAGCCATTGGTGTGGAGATTGGAAAGTGAGTTAATTCTTAATTACATGAGGTGTCGGTCACTACATCGTTTTTCTGCACGTCATTCTTACTTTTTTCTCACATGTCTTTCTACTCTGGTGCTACTGTAACTAACTCTACTGTTACTTGATGTGAAGGTACAATAATTTTTTAGGATGTTTTAGAGGCAATATTTTGTATGAGCATGCATAGTGACATGAGCAATTGCAACAAAGCCTGCTGAGTATGAAGTTAAACTAATTAACTTTTATCAGTTATAACTAATCACATCGAGTGACATGCACACAAACGCGAGACAATAAACCTACCGTGTATGACCTAATTGAACTAAACAATTCTGAAAGCAAACATGACAATCATTGATTGACATGGGCACATCACTGAACCTGTGTTGTTAGTGGAGAGTGGTGCCTCGTATGTGTTTTGCTTTACAAGTTCTACATGATTTATGAGATAACTTCTTTGAGTATTACACAATCTTGAATATTGTTATCGCAGTAGTAAAACACACAAACGTTATTTTTGCTCAGAATTCTGAGATCCGACATGTTCAACCCAGCACTCAGGGTTAGCAGAGAGGGGACAGTATTTCCATCCAACACGCAAACAGAACATATCAAGTCATGCACTGCCACTGTGTAAGTAGCATACAGCTTCTGTCCCAGCGTCTTCCAACTTTGTTTACAGCTCTGCTAAAACTTCCTGTAAGCAAACTATGGTCTTCTGCTGGTTTTCACAGAATCCTTTTGAAAGGGCTTATCCCAGCTCCATCCAGGCTATTGCCACATCTTCCATTTACCTCTTGCCTTATTTTCCTTTTCTCCTACTGCTTCAAGTATATTATCCAATGTATTACTGATTTAACTGCTTTCATACCAGAAACTAACACAACTGATATAACATGTTTATTTGTAAAAGAGCAGTTACTATAATGGACTAATTTCACTGTACAAATTAATTACATACTATTTGTAATAAAATGTGTTCCCATCATTTTGCAGGAAAAGAGCGTCAGTAAAAACTATCATGTAGTAAGTATTATCAAGATGCACTAGCTCTTACCATAGATTCACATGCACATACTCATTTACCGACAAGGACCGGACATATGCTAGAATGAAGCCATACTTGTTGCAGTCAGAAGTCACCAGCTCTCCGCTCGCTGCTACCATCAAGCAAGGAGCAAGCTCCATGGCTTTTCCACACTAGATTCCTGCATGGACAGCCAGGGCTTGAAAAGAGGTAGATATCAGGAGTGTGCGATGGTAGAAAGGCTAGGAATAGTCGAATGTTGCAGTTCAAGTACCACAATAGTAAAGCACTAAACCTTTTAATGCTAAGTAATGTCACTTTCGTTTTGCAGATTCACTTCATCGATGCACGATGACGATGATGGTGACAATAGCACTTACATCATACCAGATAAGTAAGTATGCAAAAGTAATAGAAATAAGATGAAGGTATATGCATTCTCATGACACACAGCAAGGTTCGGTTTGGCGAGTCCGACTGATTTTATTAAGAATTTTACGCAACTCGGCAGGGGTGTGGGAGGCCTAATGCCCTAAACACGTAGTACGCGCTTGCATGTATGTATGTAACATGCATGTAACCAAAGACCATATGCACCCAATTGCACTGTGTTTGCAGGTGAGTACATGTCTTACCAGACCGTACATGCATTGCAAACCCGTGAAATGAGTGATTGATGATATTTATCACTCGCGAGATCAAAACATTACAATACCTGCCGAGTCGTATGTGGCCGATTGGAGCAGTTGTCGCTAGTATCGCTACACAAAATACGTTTGCAAAGATGTGACAGCATGCCGAAAAGCTTCCATACAACGTTGAATACAATTTACACCAATACGACAGTAAACAGCTATAAACTGATTTTGGTAGACGATGCGAATAATACAGGTACGAAATAAGCTCAAGAACGTATACTTTTGTATTTATGCCAAAGTTTGAAGGAAAAAATCAGTAAAAATGCAGTAAAATACGTGTCAAGCTCCTTTATGATTATTTACTCCTGATATATGTATAATATATATATATTATATATATATATATCATTTAAGAATGCATGTTGTTTATGGACGATTGTGAGAGGGCCCTGGAAGGGGTTGTACCCCCTGCCAATACATCAATTTTTTACACAAAATAACGTTATATATCTGGACACTAATGGGAGGGTTTCACCCAATGAAAAGAGTGAAAAGAAATCAGAGGGATATAGATAAAGCTGGAAATTATAACATTTTGGAGGATTTGTGGGATGTCGCATATTACCTTTAGCACCACGCACATGCGTGCGTTTGTGTGTCTGTTTGCGTACATGTATGTTGTTGCTGGTGTGCGTGTGTGTGTGTGTGTGGGCGTGCGTGCATGCGTGCGTGCGTGCGTGTGTGTGTATGCGCGCGTGCTGAGTTTATGCGTATGTATTTGTTCATGGTATTAGATAGAGTAAATTTAGACTATTGCTTTATGTCCACCCCTATACACACGCATGCATGAATGTATGCATGCGCAGTCTCTCTCTTCCTCTCTCTTTGTATTTGTCTAATATCTACATCTACCATTGCAGGATAGGTATTGTAGGCGAACCATTGAGCTTGTTCCACTCTTCCACACTTTCCCCAATTGATGCGGAGTCTGAGAATAATGGTGAACCGACATCTGAATAAATGTCTTAATTGTAGCAAACAAACTTCTGACATTCCACTTTCTATTTTATTCCTCACGCGGTGGATCTCTGCTCTCAGGCTAAAAACGCTACAATAATACTAACTCTGTAACTAAACAAATTGTTCGTTTATGTAAATTACAACCGTTAAAAAGGCTGTACAGCGCTGCCACTTATCACCATCTAGTCATTACCGCCTATATGTTTATAACGGTGTAGTTTGCTGCTTCAACCATGTTCTGAAAATTAGGATAACTGTTGCAATGCAATAGCATTAGGAAATGACAACAGATGGCGCTGCATGATGCAATCTTGTAGTCTGGGCTCTGGTCTGTGTAAAGTGTGGATACGGACAGCATTGCAGCAAGCGGTAATTGAAATAGTGTACTTATATTGCGTTTTGATAAAATAAAAATGAATGCATCAAAGAAATATTAAATGAATATTTGTGGGTAGAGTTGGATGCGGAATCGTCTTGAGTAGCAAGGATTTTGACGGCAGATCAGTGTGTTGGAGCATGTAACAAAAAGGGCGCAAAAAGTATCGTGATCTTGAGCACAGTCACTTCAAACGTTTCAATAATAAAATGATGGCAAATAAACACGAGATGTATTTACTATCAATTAAAGTGTTAATGTTTCTCTACTCTCTTTTTCGCCTATTATAGTAATGTTTCTGTAAATTCTGTTCAAATGCTCCTCTACAACACGTTCACCACGCGAACGCCGCTTTGCACAAACGACAAAATGATTATTCTTATATATATATATATATAGGTATATTTATATATATATATATATATATATATATATATATATATATATAGGTATATATAGAGAGAGAGAATAGGTATTATTCTATATAAGGTAGGTACTCTTGCAAACAGCGTGTCAAATCTGCTCATTCGTGCGATTAGTTGCAATATACTCGTAATTTCTGTCATTCATTGCAAGCACACCCACGGGTTTTTCGTGAAAGCTCGTGTGGCGCAAAGCAGCTTACGATGCTGCAGTAATTAACATCAGGGTTTATAGTTGTAGACGTGCGTACACTAGGGGAAAGTCGAGTTGTGTACACGCGGTGTGTAACGGCTGTAAAACGACATATAGTAAAGCGCAGCGCGTCTCGAAGGATCGGCTGGCGATGATGCAAGCAGATGTGTGTGCATTTGAGTTTAATGTTAACATCGCTGGCCCCATGGCTACTGCGATGGTTATTAACAACCATAAATATTCTATAAAGAGTGCCTATATGCGTCACACCTGAAGTAGAGCAGCCACGCTTGCACAGGTGGTGCAGATGGAGATGGCATATTATAGGTCCGGGATTATGTTGGTATTCCGTCATGAGCCGTGTGTGATTTTCCGAATATGTGAGGATCTGCCACCATCAGCAATATGCACCCATAGTTACCTACTTAGTATAAGGACTTTTGTAATGGGTAACGAATGGTATCAGCCAATGATATGCAAGGATGAGATGCTTAGAATCAAGAGCGTATAAAGAAGGAACTATCCGGCCGGATCCCCAATTTTTCAAAGTTCCGGTTCCGGCCGGAACCCTTCAGGAACAGTCGGCTGGAACCGGAACTTTTTCCTAATTTCATTTCTACTACAAGCGTCATCAAGATCAAAAGATCAGTCACTGAATGTAGTTGAGCGTCAATAGAGTCAACTTGCTGACAATATAGTGTTAACAACTTCACACTATTCTCCCCCGAAAACGTTTGCCACTTGAACATCGGCTAACTAACTGAACTGAACCTAACTGATGTTAGGTGATTCAAGTGATTTTCTTTTAAAATAAAATACTCTTAGAGCCACAGGAATGGCATCTGTTTGTTAGTTGAAAATAATTGACTAAAACCAGGGATACTGCAACATGCAGGTTTTGCTACACAATTCGCTCGCGAATAAGATTCCAGAATTATGCACTGTAAGCAGATGATTCATACACCTAACAACCATCCTGTAATTAGAACTTTGTACGGAGTGCGGAGTCGATTTTCCACGAAGTGCGGCGTCAGTCTAAAGCGCCGCCCTATGTGCTGCGTGCGGTGACCCTGCCGATGAAGCCACAGACTAACGAATAGTATTCGTATTAGTCTGTGGTGAAGCCTCAGTGGACTGGCATTCACTACGCACGCGGCTGTATCGCTCGTATACGATCTTTTGTGATGTATGAATTCTCGTGTCATGTGGACATACAGTCTGCTACTTTGGACGTTGCTACGAAGTAAATGAACTGGAATCGTTATAGTTTTGTTTGATTGAGCACGCAGCCATATGTTTATGTTTCCCCCTATGCTGTATAGCCGTGCAATGTCGCTACGCTTATCGAACAGCCGTGCTCTGTTGTGATATTGCTCTGAATATAGTATTCACGAGCATTTTACACGTATATTGTGCGTTACTCTGCATGTACTCCCCTTAGGCGTGTATAGTATTGTTTGATATGCTGTGTACAGGACGTTGACCTTCACACTGTCATGTGTACTTAATCTGGCGTCCCCTGTTATAATGTTTGCGTCCAACAGGATACTGAATTCCCCTGCTCCCCCGCACGGGTTATATACCGGCATTCAGCACCCCTTGCTAATGCACCCGGCTTCACACATACGGCGTTCATCGGTACTCAGTATATCTCTGTATACGAACACATTAGGTGCGTCCGCGTCTGCCCGAGCTTTCGAAATGTCGATTTTCTTCCTGAAAAATATTTTTATGCGCGTCTGCTTCAAAACTGACTGCTGTCAAGATTTGACTAAACTGCTCGTCGGCGGCGCTTCCGCCGGATTCCTTCTAATGACTTCCTCGCAATACTGACATTGCCGTGCCTGAGCGATGAGGGGAGGATGCGGCGTGGGAGAGAGACGCGCGCAGAGTAATGCGGCGGCGGTATGTTATGTGTGCTCCCGGGAGATGCATGGCTGTCAATGGCACCGCCATCGCTGCGCTGCTGCTACGTTATACGTAATACTGTTAATACTTGTAATACGTTAATACTGCCGTCGTTATTGGGTGCAAGCTCGCCACTACCCTCTCCCAGCTCCGCGTGATCAGCTGTGTCTGATTTTTTTGTAACCGCGTGCTTTGCAGTCATATTTACTCGGCTTCTTGACATTTTGTACTCGCTTTGAAGTTTCTCGTCGTGCGCTATAAGTAGACTAGACGCTACGTATTATCGTGTGGGATTTTATATGGAAACCATGCTTCTCGCTGCGACAAACCACACGTAAACGCATCAAGTTCACCATCTCGCTGTTGGGGTTATTTTTAATAAAAAATACAAGCGCAAACGGTGGCTATATATGTATATATATATATATATATATATATATATATATATCAGAAGTAGATAATAGGGAATTTCTACTAATAGGGAATTATCTACTTCTGATATATATAGAAGTTATAATAAATATCATTTCATACAACGTACATTCATCTCACAATGTTTCATGGCACATCAAATAGCAGCTGGGAGTGTAATGCACACAAGAGACTGCATGGTGATTAGCCGTAACTGCCGACACAGGTCATATCAGAAAACCTTTACAAAGATACGGAATACATAATTATACCATATTATACATAATTATGCTATATTGTTATAGTTCAATCTCTGACTCGTACCCAGGATAGAGCGTAGCCTACTTTCTTGTACATACATTTCTTGTTGGTTTTTTGAACACGTGCGATATGGGATATATAGTCGCGGCAGCTCTATATAGTCTCAAGTCTCTCTTTTAATTGATCTGCCGCTGTTTTGGTCTTTTCTCCCCATCTTCAAAAAGTGCGCTTTCTACATCACAGATCATCAGATTGGCTAGCATACTGGCAGAATACCAAATCTTTCTGAATCCTGAAAATCGCGCAAGTTTCGTCGCTGTGACACTGGACTCCCTTGGCAGCTAGCTGCTCCAAACAATATACTAACTAGTAACTAGTAGGCCCTTTTTTCGTTTAGATGTTTTCTGTACAACAAACGCATTTTGTATTCGTAGTTTACTAGAGAAAATATTAATAATGAATAGTTTTGGACATGCTTAGACTTCAGACATTTACGCAAATAAATTTTACGCATGAAAACGCAGACCACATATGCTGTCAATGAGGGGGGGGGGGTCATCCGACCCCTCCAACACCCCTGTCCACTTGACTACGGGTCTACAGGTGTACGTGTCACCGAGTAAAAAACACGCACGTACGCCCTCACGCACACTCGCGCACACACAATCGCACTCGCATGTGCTTATACATTATGCATTGCCTTATTGTACTTGCCTTATTGTACTTGCATTGCCTTATGCATTGCCTTATATGTACAACGTGCAATACTTTAATTATCTATGTGTTTTTCCCTCTTCAACAGCGCATCGATTTTTTTCTCGTCGAGATGTATTTGTAGCTCCATATAATCTTAGTGAGATTGATTCAGTTACCCTGGGGACAGCTGTACGACAAAGAGGAATTTATTAAATATAACCTCTCAACTATTGGCAACAGTACGTGCCATACTGGACGCTGCCCGTATCTATTCTATCTATTTCTGTTCGACGATATGTCTGATGATTGCGCATGTAAATTTCTTCCAAATTAAAATGAGGCATTTTACCACAGGGAATCGCATCACTTCCTCGACACACCCTTAAAACCTATTCTTTTGCACACGTCACGCTCTCATGCAGGCTCAAGCTAAACTCGCTCTAGTTGCCCGTTGTAAATAGATGGGGTTCATAATTTCAGCTGTACTGTACAGACGCTTCCTTGCTCTATGCGAATGCACGTGATGTAGGCTACGTTGATGGCAGCATCGCATACAGTAGGATAAAGTCTCCGATAATGCAGCTGCCGCCATATCGCCAATCTCTGAGAGGCAGTACTGCTATATTGTCGCGTGTCGTCGCGATCACTGACTTTGTAGATTTTCGCTGGCGCTGTTAGACAATGAATAGGAATGAATGTTCGCTTTAGGAGCGTTCATGATTCTTTTATTTTAGTTTATTTCTTTGCTATCTTGGCTTATTATTTCTTAGCTATTCTTTATATCTTAGTTTATTTCCAAACGCTGCATATTTCGTTACCTGGTCCGTTGTGATTATAAATAAACCCGTTTTTAATTAGGGTACTTAAACCACACAATAATGCATAATTAATCAATAATCGAGAGTGATTTGACGTTGACCTTTGTAACGTTTGGTGGTAGGTGTTAAAGGGATAGTAGACTCTAGGATTTTACTGCATACAACTGTACTTACTGGTATAGACCAAATCGTCTATAAGCACACGGTATGTGTTACCAGATACCCTAATTTAGATTGTTTACATTAATTACACATCAACCGCTAAACGAAATTTGAACGCGCCATGACACCCGCGACCGTTCGTGCAACCCATGAAAAAATTGCGCATTTGCCAGATTTACTGTTTGCACGTTACAGACCGAACGGCTAATCAACAAAAGTGCACTTCTATTTATAGCCTAACATTACTTAACCGAACGATGTTCATTTTAGGACAAATTATCCATAATATAACTGAAACTGTATTCGTTTATAAGAATATACAATCCTTTGCTTTTAGAACTAATAAATAAT